AGTGTGTTTCCTTCGGTATTTCGGTACCGATCCTGCTCTTTAAGGTAGTGTGAACGGAGTTCCAAACGGCACCCTGAATCACTATCATTGGGCGTTAGTTCTGCTTCAAATAACAAAGGCCTTACTTTCAAACAGCTGCTAAGTCGTTCTTCTCGCTGTAGGAAGTTCTTTCTTCGGAGGTAAATGTAGAGTTTGCTTTTGATCTCATATAGCATACTCAATCCCGAAGTCATTCGCCACCCCTCTCATTAGAAGAATGGACCTTCCATAAAATAAAGAGTCAAAAATGGACGGTGACTGGACCGGGAAGGTATAGGACAGTGCGGATGTTATTTTGATATTGCTTCTTGTCGCAAAATCTCATCGGGAGGGCTTCAAAAGATCAGCACAGATACTCTGGATAATTAGTGATACTTTTGTCTATCTTTTTCTTTTATCGAACACTTGCCAACTTGCCCTTGCCCTTGTCACTTTCAATTATGGCAGAAATATCTGTCGAAAACACACGTCTTCAAATGTCGCAGTTCTTATGCATGAACAAAAGTGTATCGAAAAAGCGTGAAGAAAAGTGAAATCTGGGAACTTCACTCAGCACATTACGCTCAGATGACTATGAAATTTCAAATGCTTCCAAGACTATAAAGTATGAATGCATTTTTCGCTTCAAAGAAATGGAGAGAATTTGGAAAGAAGCAATCGAGTTGTTCTAGTTGCACATCATCGCGAAATCCATGTTTACTCTAACCCTTGTGAAAAATTACAAGAAGTATCTTTCGTTATGTACAGGTGATTATAAGAGTACAGAGAAATAAGTAGAATCCAGCCGAAAGGTTAGCGGTTGGAATGTGTTTAAACTCTTATTTTGCCCAGGGCACATCATGAGCTGGGCATGTTGGTCGAGTCCGTACTATGTGATGTGATGGCTTGATACGACACCCACCTGGTTTCCCCTCCCTTCCTTCCTAACTATCACTTTCTTGGATTCTCCTAACTATCTTTCCACTTTATGCGAAACACTTTTATGCATTTATGAATGCCGTCCTGGCTGCCGTCCACTCCCCCTCACACGCCTTCCTCGTTTTAAGATTTGTTAAAAAAGGGTCTAAAAGAGGGATTTTGAAAGGAGGGGGGAAACTTTGGAGAAAGGTTGTGTATCGACCAAGTGTCTCCAACTCGGTAGAGTCTCATGCCGCGTATATCACATGGGAGCGTTTTCAGCAAATGGGGAAGGATTCCCTGTCCTCGACAGCCTTATTTTTGGTGCTTTTCCTACTATCTACTCCAGCTCTGAAACCAAACCTCGGGGGACTTACGATTCACCGACTCCTTCCAATCTGGAGGTTTTACCCTCATATACTTCAATGAATTAATCAGTAGCTTCTTTTTTAGGGTGCCACCTTAAGATCCAGAGTACTGAATAATTCCGAAAGTGCAATAGAAATGGTTCAGGCAGTGAAATAAACAGCACCTTCCAAAAGGGCGCTGACGTGACGCTGAACGCGAAAACCTTTTTTTGCTTGAATGATCGAACGTCTGCCGCAGCCCTTCTCGCAATCAAACTGACAATGCCCTTGCCAGACTATGACTTGGACTACATTGGTCATAACCGAATAGCGCTCTTGCGGTGGAGGATCATTGCGCCTGAACACAAAGACGTCGACGCTCAGGAAGAGGACATTCCATCGAATGCAGCTCTTCTGTAGAAAATTTCGTCCTAACAGTTGTTGCCAAAGGGATATGTCGCAGAGAATCGTAGTTCGCCGCGCTAGTGGGCGCGCCCGGGCGACGCCGCTAATGACGACGATTTTAGGTGGTATTGGTGAACAATGTATGACCAAAATAGACATAAGTGTTTACCTTCCCTTGTCTACATAAAATGCTCCAATCGGAAGGGTAGTGCAGCTTAAGGAAACGTCGCTCCAACTGCCGCGCGCGACAAAGCTGCATTTTGCGATTCTCCTGCACGCCTCATTGCAAAGTGCCAAGTAAAACGCTTGCAACTGTCATGCTGAGGTTACAAGAAGGGGAAACCTTGAGAACTGCTTCATTGTAACACCAGCAACGCGTTAGTTCCAGAAAAGTTCTGATTGCCAAACTTAAAATAGGAAAAAATGCGAAATCGAAAGGGAATGCTGGCATTAGCTTCATGCTGTGTCAATATTCAGTATTGTCAATCACGGCGAAAATGGCTATTTTCAGACAACGACACGTCGTTCATTCTTCATGACATTTTTGCCAACTACGACAAACGAGTGATTCCGTTCACAGACGGACCGGTTGTCATTAATATGACAATTGTTTTGGGAATCCTTGTCGAATTGGTGAGTTTTTGGCATTTTCACGAGAATTACCTAATGACGATATTGTCCAAAGTGAGTGGTAAAACAGACCTGCCGTCATCTCCATCCACCATTCATTTCATTCCGGGAATTCCAGTCCTGAGCACGACGGCAGAGAGCAGTTACGGTACATTTCCTTCCTGCGCTGCGGAGGACCATTGAAAGTTAGAGTGCAAGGACGAGATACGATACCCAATGCACTTTGTCCCCATGGCAGACATGACCTACTCTGAGCGTGTGTCCCTCGTTGCGGTTTTTTCAATATAGAAAATCGCAATGTTAACCTTGAAGCTCGCCAACTCTTTCGACTACAGGTCTGGGAGTAAGGGAGAAGGTGCTGTCCGTAGTAACCAACAAAGGCGATTAGATTGTTAATTCAGTGCTAAATGAAAGTAATAAAAAACCTCACAAGCCAGGCGAGACCTCCCAATCTAAATAATATTAGGGAATACGAGATAAAAGCAAAAGTCGTGCCCCAGGCGGGAGTCGAACCCGCACCTCACGCTTTCCGGGCGAGTGCGCTATCCGTTACGCCACCAGGGCCGCTTTTACCCTCTCAGCTTAACGGCTTTTATGCCGTAGCCTTACAGCACTCACACACTTTTGCCCACAACTCAGCATTCTTGTGATAACATTCGGAACGCGTACTGCGGCGTTAAACAGCAGTTATCACAACAAAATACTGCGTTGCATTTTACAGAGGGAGAACGAACAATTGGCGGCGTATGTCATTTCGCACACTCAGCGTTGGTATGATCGTCGACTACAGTGGGACCCGGAACTATATCGAGGGCAGAAAGAGGTAAGCGAGACGAACCCAGTCCGTAGGATTTGACCCTAGTTTTTCTTTGCTCTTATTTTTCCTTGAAAGGTCCGTCCACATTTGAAGGCAAGTCTCATGATAAACCCCCAAGACGTGTAGGATTAATACGCCTAGCAGGACAGAGTTCAGCGACCGTTGGCAAGCGCCGCATGGCGCCTTCTCCGAGGATTGTGCCCCTATAGCACCTTCACAAGCTGTTTCATACCGACCCCAGCGTCCACTCCCCCGCCCCCTTACGAATGTCCGACCAATTCTGATGCTCGTATTGCTTCATTTGCGAAGTACAATATGAAGCGAAGGGATTGATATGAAGCGGCTGCGGTGCTGCATGGACATACATGCAGCCGTATCTACCGTAGCGGTTGTTGGCACGATAGCAATGGAAAACTCGTCCAAAATGCTTTTTGACCTTTGTTTTACACGACTTGGTGAAACGTGTTGGACAAAGGATTTTTTGCAAGTTTTTAATCGTTTCATTTTGCTTTTTCGCTGTTTTCCCCCACTAGATAGCACCCCTGCAACCATTTCAGACTGAGTACCAAGACATCGTGCATTAAAGACAGCATGTTCAGTTATGAAAAAGCAGCTGATAAGTAATCCCCTAAAGAAGAAAAAAAAGCAGGAAGAGTCCTCAATAACGTCATAAACGATTCGTTGCCTGACCGCCTGCGATCTCTGTGCAACCCCTGGCTCACAAATCGCTTTATCGCATCTCCCAGTAGTGGATATCATCCAATGCAAAGAAAATATGACAAGATGCTGCTATCTCTGAGCTTCATCCAATATGTTCTTGAACAGTGTGCTTGAAGCTCTTGACTTGTTTAACAACTTTATTGGCAAGCTTTCGGCATATAATGCCTTCGTCAGGCCTTAAATTACAATTTCAAACATATAATAGCTACAACGAGCAATGCGTAAAACCTTACATACCAGGCCTTGAGAGGGACGGACCTATCGGCGGGGTGTCAGGGCAATAAGTGACCCGCACTATGACAATGAGACAAATGGGTGGCGGTGATTATGCGATGAGTCTCAGAAGGTCACGTAGCTCCTCTTTTGCTTCATGACGCATTCAGACTTCTACACAGGGAAGTCCTTCCAGTACTTTTCTGGTAATTGTACCCGTACATCCTTCAACGCTGACCCCTGCCCCTAATACATACTACGCCTCTCCCACGTAAGTAAGGAGCTTCTTGGTCTGTGGTCCACCACACTTTGTCCACAAAAGCTATTCTCAATCTATTTCTTTGTATTACTATACGTTATGCATGCACCAGGGCAAGACTTTCATAAAACACTCAGATCGTGAACACAATGGTACTAGATCTTACTGGCAATGAGTTGTTTTCAGGTGATTGTTCCTCAAAGTATGGTGTGGATACCGAAGCTTTTCGTCTACAACAGGTATGCTAATAAATATGGTTCGAAAACGCTCTAGTGTGGTTGTCGTTGAAGGGAGGCACCATCGTCCCGCAAAGATCACGATTTCATCGAAACGTTATGCCATTTCGAACAAGTGTCTCATCCAACACCTCCGTGAAAGATAGAATAAGCAGAATATACATGGAAGATGATGGTCTACCTATTTCAGTATGACATTTCCAAAAATCTGGGAGAGAATTAGCAGAAAAGAATATCGAAGTGTATCTAACAAGACACATTGTTTGAGATAGTTCTATTTTGAGTAACACTTTGTGAAATGTTGTTTCTGAAGGAAGCACAACCTTGGGAGAAGTCTTCATATACAGTATACGGGGTGCAGTGGTGGTAGTGCATGCTGCTCCATCGCTAAAATGCGACCCAGCTAAAACAAAACAGCGTAGTAGTCAGCGAAGTTGTCGCGGGGATTGGGTCGTATGGCCACCAATTCTAATAGGG